CTTTTAAACTGTAAGTTTATTTAATTTAATTATCATAAAAATACAATAAAAATTAAACCAAGATTTATAATAATTATCATTTTGATCCATACATTAGTAATGTCTGACTGGACCTCGTGTCACTATATGCTCAATAAATTAGGCTCTGAGGTCACAAAGGTTAAGAAGCCCTGATTTACTCAACCTCTAAACCTGTAGGATTGTGGTTGTGTTCAAACAACAGGATTTACACGTGGACTGTTTAAATTATCACTAAGACGTGGATTTTTATACCTTTAAACTGAAGTGAAATAAGGAATAGATCTTACTTTGTTGAAGAAAACTGGTTGTAATGTTATCAGTGAAAATGCATCAACTTTAATCAGTTAATATGAATGTTTTGGTCTCATGTATGGGAGGAAGTCAGACGTGCTCGAYGTGATGAAAACTTGTACGATTCTGTATTTATGTACAAAAACATTTACATGTTTTTTAAAAAAGTTGAAATAAAACAGAGCAGGATTTAAGTTGAAGTAATTTCTCTAGAAATGCTCCAGTCATTCATTCTGACAAGATGTGAAGCCAAGAAAAAAAGAAAAGTTTTTCTCACATCTAATAATTTAACAGATAAAAAGTTCTAACGTACAATTTACAGACACTTTGATGCCAAAATGGGGCTCAAAATTAGATAAAAAGCTTAGAAAAGTGTGGCAATCCAAAATAAAACAATTAAATTAAAAGATTTTTGCTGTTATACGTTTTTCAGTACTGATTTCATTAGAATTGTTCAGCGTTTTAGAAAATAAAATAAGAAATAAAAAGGCAAAGCAGAAAGAAATACAAGCCATTATCAAATGTTAACTCTTTATTGGAATAAGTAAAAAAAGGTGCAGGGGTCACAGGTTTCATCTGTTTTGTTCTCGTTGCATGAAACAGATTTTTTTTCTTCTAAAACATATTTACATGTGAAATCTCCGTGTTTCCAAACCGTCTAATTTTTGTTTTAGCCATGTACAGAATCTGCTTCTAAACTGGTGATTAAACATTTATTAAAGTGCTTTTTTTTCTTCTTCTATCGTAGCAACACAAAACATCTTTACAAAGGATATACTGTACACGTCTGCATGTGTGTGATCACGTTTCAGGCTGCCTGCTTCAACAGCTGCACTGCATCACAGAGCTCGTACAAGTCCTTCAATTACTTCATTATTTTGTCTTTAAAATACAATTGAAACTTGACATATACAAATAAATAGTAGTCATAGCCAGGGTTATTGCATGCAAACATCAGCAATTATGTTTCTTCAAGCAGTAATACATTTCATTACTGGTGGTGCATTTGAGCGGGTTGCAAAAGGATCCCAGTGTTTCTTACACTGTCTCTAACCAGTGCAGCTTTGCTGTATGCCAGGATTTCTTTTTTCAAAGTCATGATGATGCACATTACACAATGCTAACTGAAAAATGGTTGAAATATTTGACCCGTGTATTAAAATGACAAGGAAGAYAAGGAAACGTGTGACAATAATAACAATAATAGTAATGTGAATCACTACCACTACTCCTTGTCCATTTCAACATATTGTGAGTGGTTATCTGGAGATTTGCTGTGAGTTTTACTCAGATGAAGTTTGACTGCGTGATTACTGGCAAATGTCCGACAGCAGAGCTTACATTTGAACTTTGAGTCAATGTCTTCCTCTGTGGCCAGAGCCTCGCTGGCTCGGACACTCAGAGCCTTCAACATTTCGGGTTCCTCTACCTTCGTTTGGTGCTCCACGGGCATTTTGCACATGTCTTTGATTTGGAACCCAAGGTGGGATTCCAGGTGGGAGATGAAAGTGGTGGGTGACCTAAACTGGGAAGCACAGTCGTTACAGTAGAAGACGGGGTGGCCCGTGTCCATGTTCTTCAGAAATTTGGTCCCTCCTGTTTTCCGCAGTTGGTATTTTACATTCGCTAACCAATGGCTTATGGTGGTCATCGACAATCCAGTGAACTTGGAGATGTGCATCCGTTCCTGGGGGCCGAGGTCTGAGAGCAAATACTTTCCCTCAGACGTCTGGAAGAGGCTGGAGGCGAACTGAGCCTGCAGGATGAGGAGGTGGCGAGGATTCCAGTTGGACTGTCTACCTTTGCGCTTGTGGACGGAGTAGACCTCGGCAGACACGTCCTCAAAGCGCCGGACGTCCGATTCCAGCTTCATGGTAGGAATCCTCGATGGTATCGATGGTTTTGGCGTGGTGGCTTTTGGAAGAACTTTAACCATATCTGCGATGTCAGACAGAGCATATTTGTGTGGCATTGGCGTGGAGGGATGTAGCAGCAGAGAGCTGGCCTTGCTGTGTTTGGACTTGGTTAGATCTATCGGCTGGTCGTCACTGACCAAGAAGAAAGGGTTATCAGGCCGATTTCTCACAGGACTTCTGAGCAGCGAAGCTGGTTTCTCACTGCTACGATTAAAGTCAGCAAAAATCGACTGTGAATGTGCAGATATTTTCTCTGCTCTTGAGTTATTGGGCTTGTTTGCTTTGCCCAGGTGATTGTTCAGGACTGACTGTAGCGCACTAAGAGGGTTAATGCCAAGTATATCCGGACTGTCACTGACAGGCTCTGATGTAGTGCTGCGRCCATTGCTGGCAGCAGGGCTCGGAGTCTTCTCCCTGTCAGAGAAATCTGGGCTCAACTTCCCTTTGATCGTTTCTCCCTCTTCATTCACACAGTCTGCATCCAGCTTTGAAGAGGAAGAGGAATCGTCCTGACAATCGCTGTCGTCGTTCTCCAACAGATCAAACTTCATACTCTGACTTTCTTTGCCATCACTAATGCCTACCTTTTCTTTTTTGATGTCCACATTTTGATGTGGGCCCTGGGGAGGCTCGGCTCCCTCAGCACTGTGGTATAGCTTTCTCTTTGGGGCAATCGCCCTCAGTTTGTGGTTAAACGTCTGCTTTAGCTGAGTAGGGGGAGATGCAGAGAGAGGGGTACTCTTGATGATCCCAGAGAGCTGGTAGGCAGCGTGAATGCTTGGGTAAGCGCTCCAGCTTGGTGTTCCTGTTTGAGCTTTATTGATGGCAGAGGCCACTGTGTTGGCCAAAGATTTAAGAATGTCTCCTCCTCCACTGGACTCTTTTTCCAGGTCTTCTTCACGGAGATAGGGGTATTTAAAAGACCCACCGCTCATCTTTTGATCCTCACTCTCTTGCTTGTCATCTTTCGTTTCAGTTTCTTCTGTTTTGTCTGATGTTCCTTCCCACTGGTTGTCCTTCTCACTGGTCCCGGGGGAAGGATTTTTGGGAGACACCTTTTCTCCCTCACTGTCGCTGGCAGCAGGCTCAGCTACACCCTGGATCTTCTCTACAGCCAGGGGATCAAGCGCTAGCTGTTTGCCTTTTTTAGATGCTGAGTTTGTGACTTTGATGAAGTGTCCYGTCACCATCATATGTGTGGTGAGTTGCTGCAGGGTGTCATGAGAGCTTCCACACTCCATGCATTTGAGAATCTGGGACTTGCACGTCTCAAACTGCCAAGTATAACTGGCACCGTTCTGATAACCGTAGCGACTGCTGTTGGCGTTTGTGAGGTTGGCTGTCCGTTGAGCCTCAGTGTAGCCGGACACACCAGTGGTCGAGTCTGGAGAGCAAGGTCTTGTTGTTTCAAAGGCTCGTTTCTTGGCTGGTGGCAGTAATTTGGGTGTGATTACAGGGATTGGCTCTTTTAAAGGCACTTTTTGGTAATGCTTAGTTTTAATCATATGGACGCTCAAATCCTGCAACGAATCAAAAGAATGGCCACAGAACATGCATTTCAAAACTTTCTGTGCATCCTCTTTTCCCTCCATATCTTGTAAATTTCTTTTTCTAGATTTTGACGACGAAGCAGCTGAGTTACTCTGTTTGTGGTTGTTGTCTTGGTAGTGTCCAGTCTTGTTCATGTGGACGGTCAGCTCCACCAGGGTGTCATAAGCTGCACTACAATCCTTACATCGGAAACGGCTGGCCCCTGTGAACACTGAGCCGCAGGGCTTGGTGGTTTGCCTGTACAGGTGCACGGAGCTGAACAGGTTGGGTTTGGATGCGGGCTTTGGGGAGAGCGTCTGCTGTAAGGTTTTGGAGAGCGCATCCTGGTGCCAGTCGAACTCGCTCTTGCTGCTTCCGTTGGTGCTGTCACAGTTGGCTTTGCTGGTATTTTTACCAATTTTATAGTCCATTCCAATCCCAGTCCAGTAGGAGTCAGAGAGAAAGTTTGCATATGCTGCCCTCATTTTCTCCAAGCTACTGCCCATCTCCTCCTTATGCTTTGAGCTGCAGCTTTCTTCGTCCCTCTGGCTCTCAGGTGGCGAGGTGGTTTTGAAATCAGACAGTCTGTCGCTGCTGTCACTAAGACGTGACTCCAGCTCTGCCTCCTGATTGGACAGGACACTGATGGGAGAGTTCTGGTTGCTGTAAGTGTGGGTGCTCTTGTTGTCCAGCTCTCTGTCCTCAGACACCTTGGGGCTGGTCTTCTCTGAACACTCCTCTTCGGTTTGACTGTCGTTCTCACCATCTTCCTCAGTGATGGAATCCTGCAGAGCAGCATCTTCATCAGGCATGTACACTGGAAACGACAGAGACGAGAGAAAAACGCATGAAAATACAGTTTGCTTAATGTTTACTGTCTCTACAGTTGGATTTATGCACATTGCAAAGATTTAAATATAAGACMTTGGGATGTTATATTAACAGCTGTTTGATGCTTTGGAGAGTGGAGGTGTTTTTACAACYCATRCTCATGGCCCCRCGCYTCAACATATTGACGCTTGGTCAGGTAGCTGTCAGCGTCAACTTTCAGATGCGCCGGGTAGCCCCCGTGCGTCCGTTCTTAACGAGATAAGGCGGAGGAGGACGAGCGTGTCGTCATATTTTTTTTTTACAAGTGTAGGAAATGTGTGAAACTAACCATCCCAGACCCTAAATTTAACTTCTATTAGCCTTATACAGCCTATCCCAGACCCAGACCCTAAACTTAACCATTAACCCTGATCCCTGTATTAACCATTTTTTAAATGTAGAGAATTCGCGAGAACAAACCAGCCCAGAGCCTAAATTTAACCTATATTAGCTACATACAGCRTATCCCTGACCCAGTATCTCAATTAACCAMTAATCCTGATCCCTCATGTTAACCTCAGACCCCCGACCCAAAGACCCCTAAGTGACYCAACCCGGAAAAGCCGCGGGCGGCAAGGACGGATGCGCAGAGGGGGTAGCCGACYCCTCWAAACTGGACGCAGACGGTCCCTGKCCAAGTCTCAATATGTTGACGAGTCCGACATGAGAATGTGTTYGTTTCTACTAACTGCTGARGGTAAAACTGCACCGCTTGATTCATGACAGGCCATTGACCCAATGCTGTGTCCAAGGGTTTCCTGGCCTCAGTTTGAGATGTTTACAACAATCACTAACCACTGAGTGACAAAAGGAAATTGATTCATCTGGGATCTGCTAAGTGTTACTGCAAACGAGCTTTTCCACAGTGATTACGGAGGCTTCAGAAGTGAAGCGGAAATGTAAGCCTTATGTCGTGGACTATCTCATCATCCCTGAAGCAACATGTGAGGAATAGATTTACATGAACTCAGATATTCTAATGATCCTCATCAATCCAGACGTAACTTCAAAGGGAGAGAGAACTCATTACATCTGTGGAAGTTAAGTTACAATTACAAACTTTTAATATTCTGTAACTCAACTTCAGGAGACTGATTTTGTTGACGGTAAAATTAAAATTATGTTGCAAATGTGCAAAAGCTGGTGAGGAGGCAGATCCAGCTCTGAGTGTCACAACCAGACGACGATACCAAATTTCAAAAGATAACTGGCAATCTGTCACGTCATTATATTTTCCCTGGCAGTCTCATAAAGAGCAATTACTTCTTTCATTATTCATATGTTTGTTCTCTCAACTCTTGGAGCACAAACATTATTGCTTCAATTAACAGATAATTAAACAACACAATTTCTAATTGACACGTTTCCCATCATCCAATTAATGGAAACGCTGACTCAGCAAAGCTGGAATTTCATCTGGCTGCAGATGTCTGCTTCATTTAATGACCTCTGCGGAGGATTAAAACAACCTTTTTTTAAAATAATTCCAGTAGATTATTTAAAATCCAGCCACCTTTAACCCGTATCAGCGTAATCCCAGCTCCGGTTTTATACCGTCTGAAGACATCCTGCAATAAATTCAGTTTGTCAGAGCTGTCACGTATCTTTGAGATATTTTCCACCTCACAGCCGTGCAGGAAAATGTGCGTTTTAGAGGAGATGTGGCAGATGTGCTCCCTGTTAAATATGAATAGGACATAACAGCCCTGTCCAGGCACTTATGTGTTTCATGTGGTTAATATTTCTCTTCTGAATAGGAGGCACTCGCWGAGGGGTTGGCTACAGCCGAGCACTCAGCCGTCCCACGCTGGGCAGCCCGGAGAACGTCTTCATCGTTTCTGCTTTCTGAAAATAAGACTTTTTTTGTATCAATATTTCACAAGTGCCTCGAGAGAAACCCTGAAGATGAACTGCTCGCCGCTTAATGGATGAGGAAGGAGAACAGAGTTGGACTTTCCAAACAAACAGAGGACGGTGCTTGGTACAGAACAGCCTACGCACACACAGACACACACACAGACACACACATACATACATAAACCAACAGTCAAGAGCCCCAGTGTGGTGTGACCTTGCTCCGCTGAAGTGGGATGTTTTGATTGGCCAGCTGAGATCAGCGATGGTGCCCAAAACACCCTTGATGCTGAGGGAGAGAGTTGTCAGGAGCACAGAGGTATGTTTTATTTATACTRATATATAGTCTTCACATCAGAGGAGAACAGAAATAGCTGTGACAAGCTCTCACTTCACGTCTTCTCTCTTCAAAGTTATCAGGAAAACCAAGGGACTGGTTAGACTGGTCACCAAACAGGAAAGAAGTCCTGTCCCAAGTTCAATAAGTGGAAATTTCTTTTCTTTTTATGACAAGTGATAATTTCCCGGACAGACTACGTCCTAGAGGAGACTGGGGACAGTTGCAACACTTTTTGCATTTGCTACTCAGAGATGGTTTGAATTAGAAAAACCAAATTTTAAAACAATAAACTTACATCTGTCTGTTAATAGTCAAAACCATTTATAGATGATTAAATCATGTACATTCTTCACTATTTGTATTTGAAAATGAAAAGTCAGATGTTACAACTGACCCCGGGGCCGGGGACAGTTGTAACATTGTTTGGGGGTGGTTACAACATATTATTAATACAATACATTTCACTGTAAATAAAAGTTTTATATTTATATTATTGTTAAATGAATAAAACCTGTAAGTTCTAATGATATTACAGTGTTATTTATTTATTGTTTRTGATCAAATGATGAATATAGATGAGCCTTGATGAGTAGACCTTATATACAGATGTCAAAGACTCTAATTGATATAAAATACAGTTGACTTTTAGACACAAGGATAACAGAACAATTTGTGTTTTGTCTATTGTCACTGTACGCCTACATTATGTAACATTTACATTAAACAAACTGGGATTTTAAAACCATTGCTGAAAACAACAACTGTAGAAAATACATCTTAAACACTTTGATGTTTRAAACTATAAAACTGTCATGAACACCCAACAGCCTTTTAGGTGTAAACTTAATTTCAACATGTTAATCTCATCTGTATGTGCTCTGTTTTTATATGGATTTATCGTATGGGGACAGTTACAACAACTGTTCCAACTGTCCCCCTTCCTGTCAGCCATGATAAAACCTCATGTGTTAGCTAAATAAGCTCATCTGGATACATGTTAACTAGATTAGTTAAAAGTCAACAGATCACTTGTTTAAACCATAGAAGTTTGAGCTGGATCACAAAAACAGTGACAACAGTTTAACACAAATAAAACTGGGTAAAAAAATACTTACTTTGTTCCTCAAAAACTGTTTTTTTAAATAAATCCTGGATCAGTTTTTGAATCTGTTGACTTTTTCTTAACCAGGTGGGACATCTAACTGAACATGTACAGTGTGAGTGTCATCACTCTGTTTCTGTTTGGAGAAAAATGATGTGTTGTAACCGTTGTTGCTACTGTCCCCGGTCTGCCCTACATACCTACTCAGGAGTAAAATAATTGTGGATTTGAAAGAAGGGCGGAGCTTTTCCTGGATGCAAGTTGCATAAAGTCATAGAGGAAATGTGGTGAATGTTTGTCCTGATGTTGAGGATGAAAGTGACAAAGATTAACAGCTGCCCTTCCTCTTCTGTGCCTTTCTATCAGACGCCCTGAGCAGCCGACATCCAGAGGCACCAATTAACCTTCTGGAAGGGACCGCTCTGAGAAACCTGCATGTCTGACTCTGCTTCTCACACCATTTGTAACTATGCTTTGCCAGCTTTTGATCTACCCTGGAGCTGCAGCAATTCCCAGCTGCACGGCTCACTAATACAAGAGCAGACTCAAAGACGGTGGCGTAGATCACCTGCACAAGATCACCCTGAGTACAGAGCAGGAACAACCGGTAAGCTGCACAAAACAGGCCCATTTGAAGTCTTAAAACGCGTGCATAATCTTCTGAGGCAAAAGTCAACAGCCACTGCATTTCGCTGGCACCAGGAAGAAAAAGAGTGGGAAATGTCTGCTTTGAAAATGAGGCCAAGTAAGACAAGTCCTGGGCTGACCGGCCACAGAAAACAAGAGGCTGGCATGCTTGCCTGAGATTTAGCATGTCATAAACTGCTGTAAAGCCTCCAATCTGTGTCAGGACAAATTTATATCTTCAGACAGAGATATGCAAAGGTCAAAAAACCTGAGGTGTCTATCATAAATCAGGCAGTTGAAGTGTTTATAACCTTTATCCGTTAGAYCAGACTCTTGGCATAGCAAAGGATTTACAGAGGCTGCAGCTTATTCCACAGCCAGAAGACTTTTTTCTACATCCACAGAGACCAGCTATAACTGTACAAAAATTACAGATTCATGGCACCAGTTCTAAACGGACTGGTGCTGAAAGGCCTACATGACAACATATTTATGTCTCGACTGTAAGCATTAGTGTCCTGGGTGACTACGATCCGCTCACACTGCTCTGAGTAAGCCTGTTCAAAATGTGCCGATCACTTTTGAAACGTCTGTGGCAGCTGAGGAACGGCTTTGTTTCCAGCGGTGAGATGCCAGAAGTTTGGTAATGGTGAGAACATAAACATTTATCCAGTGGAAGGTCAACATTTCCTTCATTAATCTGACAAGCCACAGAGAGTTAGCCGTTTGATGAGCTCAGCTAACGGACAGCTGCAGGACTCCACGAGTGCCCGGGGTAACACTATCTTCAGAGCAGATTGGGTAATTCATAGGTGCCAGTGACAGGTCTGCACGTCTGTGCCACTTTCCCCACCGCTCACCGCTTGTCTCAAGCTACAGTTTTTGCTGCTCGCAAATCAATATCTCTTTTTACTTCTCATTGATTGCCCAGCGGTGGGACCGACCTAAGCAGGACTGTTATGACATTTCTAGATTTCCCCCTGTCCTTGGAACAATCAATTACACGAGCATGGCAATCAAAACC